CAAGTGACCAGCCTCTCTTTCCATGATTTGTAGATTTTTCCTCCTCCACTTAGGTTTGCCCAGTAGTTCCTTTTTTAACCATGCTGGTCTCCTAGCTCCCTTACTAGATTTCCTAACCAATGGGACGCTCTGATCCTGTGTCTTATGCCCTTGTCTTGCATAATGAAGAACTAATCTCTGTGAAGTGGTAGCTTGCTTCATGTGCAGGAATACCTGGTGTCTGGAGTGTTTAAAGGGAGCAGGGTGTTATTACTTTATAAAGGGTGCCTGTGCGTGGCTCTTTTAGCTGTATGGAAGGATCTGTAGGTCCTAATGCATCTTCTGTGTGTCTGTCTGTTTGCAGGTGGGTTGAGCTTCTGTCTGAAGCCTTAAACCTCCCAAAGGGAAACTGAAGCTCTTTGAATAAATATAATTTAGCTATTAAATTCCGATATCTAAGAGCTACTTAGTCCTCTTCTTGCTAACCCTTGAGACCAACTTTCCCCACCAGCCTCAGGAAAATCTGGGGACTTTTTCCTGTGATACCCAGTGTTTGTGTGCACCACCTTCCTTCTGTCTTACTGACCTGCTTCTGCAGCAAATGGAGCAGGAGATGTCATTGGCAAAGTTGAGAAATTATTTTTAATTTTGATATGTGTGTGAGATGTTACATCTCATCTGTATGCATGACAGGTTCATGTGCAAGAGGGTAGCAAGGTGGCAATTGTCTTCCAAGGAGAATTAATTAGTTGGTGAATGTAACTACTTTGATTGTGTAATAGAAAACAGACCCTGCAGTATCATCTTGCACTTCTGATTTAGTAATCCTGCAGAGTACCACCAAAACTGGGAAGATCCTTTCCCTCCTTGTGGAGGGAACAGTAACTTTGCACACCTGTCACATTCTGTTCTGCTCCCAAATCCATAAAGTAGTGGCTTTCCCCTAGGCTTGTATTATCTACAGGTTAATTTGTAAAAGCTATGTTAAAAATAAAGTGGCTGCAAGGTGGAAAAAATCACAGAAAAATACAGGTCTGTAGTGCTAATTCTTTAGGATGCTCAAATGTCAAATGTGTGCTTCCAGGTAGTGCAGTGATACTTAAGTGAACTTCATATTACACTGGTGGTGAGCATCTTCTTCAGCAGCATGCAACTTGGCACAAGCTGCAGAATGCTTGAGAAGCTGCTCATGTGGATAGTCCACACAGCATGCAGCATTGCTGTAGCTATGCTGGAGGCACTCCTGAGAGGTTAAAGCTAGGTTGGGTACATTCACTTTGACTGTCAGTGTGTCCTTTGGCAATTGTTGTTTAAAAAAACACCCACAATGTTCTAACAAAGCAAAATCTTGGAAGCATATTCTTATCCCTTTCTCACGATCTCCTTAGCTTTGCCAGAAAAAATAATAAGAAAGGTCAGCAAATGTTAAAACACATATATAGAGAAATTTAATATTCTTTTATGTAAACCAAACCATCTACTATACATAGTAATAGAAATTTTGCAATATGCTTCAATAATTCACTTATATCAGTAAGCCTCAACAATTAATTTATAACACTCCTGGCTATAATATCATTAGGAACATGGTTACCTAAAATTTTGTTTTAGTTTTAAGGTTACAATGAGGTTGACCCCTTTTTAAAAATCAATTCTTCATGTCAAAACACTGACTTGAAATATTTTGCTTACTGTCCTTTCTCAATAGTAAATTATCACCTGACCCTCTGAAGATATTCCAGTCCAACTAATTAACTCAGCCAGCTGTTTTGACTTTTATCTAATAAACAAAACAAGTACTATCTTCTGTCATGGGCAAATTGCCCTTAAGGTCTTGTTTTGCCAAGTCACAGAGCTTCCCCTCAGTCTGGCCTCTCAAGATCACTGTGCAGAGGCCAAAACCTTTACCTGGCCAAAACGTTCTCAATAATAGCTAGTCCTCAGTGCTTGCTTGGAGCCTTGTCAGAACTTCTCAATAAACAGTGTTTGTCACTCTCAAGTGTAAGCATCGGGCAACTGGCCAAGATTTGTGCAGAGTGCAGCAACTTAAGAGCCTTTTCTGAGACAAATGTCATGTCAGTTGTCTGTCTTCCTCTTTGGTTTTCCTCATAAACCAAAGGTCCCGTCAGAAATGTCACATCATATGATTATATTACATTGTTCACATGTTTAAGGGTATAATCAACAGGTTCATCTTTCTGATTTTTTTTTTTCCAGATGTAGAGATGCTTCAGTCCAAACCAGATACTCCAGTTGCCAGAGATGAAGTTTCTCTAACTACAAAAGACTCGATGCTCCGCAAATTTTTAGAAGGTGAGATCTCTTTGGAGGGAGTGATGGCAGTAGTACAGTTAAAACAGTTAAATGAAACTTGACATTTCTTCCTGACCTTTAAGAATAGGAGCTAGTCTACACTGTTTGACATGGATAACTTTGCCTTAGTACGTTCCAACAAGGCACAACAGAAAAAGCAGTTTGAGGTGATTTCACCAGTGTGGTTAAGCTTCTTACCAAAGGTAAGGAGTCATTTCTAATTCTCATCCCTGCCTACTGGTAAGTGCAAGCACCTAGTATCTATTTAGGAATGGCTGGCTGTCTTTTGTCCTTAAAGTGATAGGAATGAATTCTGGTATCCTGATGTTGGCACTTGCTCCCTTCATGGGAAGAGGCCAAGTATAAAATAGAGCAGCACAAGCTAGTGATGAATTTTAATGTCAATGCTTTATTCAGAAGTCTAGCCTTGAAAACAGCAGCCTGGAATACTTACTGAGCATGATTGGGTGGTCCAAGCCTTCCCCTGACTTACCAGTTTCCATGGGGTACAGGCTCACTTTTTGTGGGTGACCCAGCTGCCCTCACAGCAAGGTTAACTCGGGCTCTTATCATGTTGCTCAGTTTTCCCTGCCAACACTAATTTTCTGGCAGTCCCATTGCATTGACTCAACTAAGTGTTACAATACTACTCAAGGAAAGTCAGTCCACTGGTTAGGGTGTTCACTTGTGACTTTGTAACAGAGTGGGGAGTTAGTCTATGGGCTCTTGGTTCCTTTTACTACCATGCAAACAGAGGGAAACTAGCTTTTAAATCAGATATGATGACGTTTGATTTTGCAGTTATGTTAGAACTGAGAACAGAATGGAGATGATGAGGGGGTGTAATGGTAGTGAAGTACAGCTGTGTGTGCCCAACTCCCTCTGCAACACGTTGTTCTGAAGTCAAATATTGTCAGCTTATGGTGATGGCTCATTTCAGACAAAGGAATAATTCTCTGTAGTGTTTTATAGACCCCTACAAATAACTTCTGGAAACCAGTGTTCTGTTAGATTTAGCTGTTCTAATCTGTTAATTAACTGAGATTAATGGAAGTGTTCCTTGAATTCTTAAAAATAATTATGAGACTTTCTGCTTGGGTTTCTTCTCAAAACAGATGGTAAGGCTCAGTGGCAAACACATGCTACTGTATCAAGCCCTGTGTTGAAGGGCTTGGGCACTTTAAGTCACTGCAAAACTGGATGGTTTTGCCTGTGAAATGGCCAGCTTGGTAAGAATGTGGTACATAGTGCATCTGGAGGAATCTGGTGTTCAGTTAAACAGCCAGGTTGTTTTTCTTACAAACATCTCCTCTGTTGTAGGCAGTAGCGTGGATGTGCCAGATTCAGAGGAAGGAGATTACCAACGGCATGGTGAAGATGTATACTACTCAGTGGAACAAGATACTTTTCCACAGGAAATGGCTAGCAGGCCTCCAGTTCCTGTTCCAAGACCAGAATCCAGCTCTCCACAGCCAGACAACGAGCTGTATATCTCCAAAAGTGAGTTGAATACCAGGACCTAAAATGTAGACTAGTCACCTGTAGAATGGCCTTGTCATGGGCTCCAGTTGCCAAGTAAATACTGAGAAAATGTACACCTTTTTGAGACCCCTGGATTATTTGGTTCTGGAGCTGGGTTACCTTTTGGATACAGTTTCAGATGTGGTGTTCATCTTCTGCCTGCTCTGAAAATGTGGGAATGTTTTGTCCTATGGTCTTGGCCTGAGCTTGCCCTTCATGAAAGCGATAGGGCAACAGATCAGCCCTAAATGGTATAAACAAATCCAGCTAAATAGGAAAGATCCTGATATTATAAGGATGAAATCAAGCTAATGATCTGAGACCTTGCTGCTCTGTAGTGGTATCATTGATTCAATAGCATTTGTATAGGACGTGATTCTGTACCTCAATATTTCCCTCTTAGGTGGAGTTTAATTGAAGAAAACTGTGCCTTGTAGTTTGCTAGGCAGCTTTGGAAATCTTGATCATATTTCACAAACAAGAGAAACAGTAATATGTGGGAGAGTAATTTCAGTGTCTCTCCCTTTCCTCTGTGACAGGACTGTGGGGAAACTGTGTCCAGGTTTCTCTTAGAGGTGGCTGAAGTGCATTCTTTGAGGTCAATCAAATGGGACTTCTACTGTATAACTCCTTAACATGCTTTTTTCAATGGATTTAGCAGGGCAACAAACTGCAATGCAGTGCAGAATTGTGTATGTTTCCCATAGTCATCCTTACTATTTCTGTCTTCATGAAATGCATTTCATTCTATGAAAGTGTTGGTTTTACAGTTTTTGCACAGAAAGCTCAAAGACCTGAGAATCTCTATGTTCCTAGAGGAAGAGTTAAAAAAGGTAAGACAGAAGTTCGTTTTGAAAATCTTTTTAATCTTAAAACAAATCTGCTGAGGTAGCTTAATTTGTGTGAAATGTGACAAATAGTCTTTTACAAGGCTGTGGGGGTAACAGTTCTGTATGAATGACCCAATCTTTCCAACCTTGTGTGACATTGGAATCTTTTTATAACTGAGGAGTGTGAGGGGAAGTTCCCTTTTGTCACATACTCTATGTATCTCCTATCTTGGAGTTTATACTCAGCCAGGATCATAATGATTACTGAAGTCCTTTATCTTGTGACCCACATTACTTCATGGAGTCAATATCCCACTTTTGATCTTCTGGATGAAGCTACTGTCTGTTGATCATTATTTCCTGGGATTTAACCTTTAGTGAACTTGCTGTTCACTAAACTTGCTTGCTCTTGATCTCTGCACTTCCAAAACTGTGCACTTACTCTTTCACCTCTTGTCCTGTGCACTTTTGAAGTGCTGGGAACCACATCTTGAGCTTCTGTCTCATATGTTGGGAACTCCTCGTTATGTTGCAAATTAGTTACAAAGAGCCAGCATCAGCAGGATGAGTTTTCACCTTTCTGTTTCTGGAGTTACACTGCAGAGATTATCTAGGAAGAGTCTGGCTTTGTGACTGCCAGGGTGGAAGCTCTGTTTTGTGGATTGAGGAGGAGAGAGAGATTTCTGCAGTGAGGAAGCGGAGCACTTTAAGGAGTACATTTGGTGCTGTTCACTTAAGTTATGTGTTCAAGAACAGCAGTTACCCCTGGGACATGTTTGTGTACAAGGCTACCTCTCAGCTGGGCTTTTAACCCTGACAAACAGCAGGATGGCATCAGGACAAATCCCTCTTCTGGTTAGGAAAACAATACCAATTTATTGATCTCTGCGATATCAAGGGTGCTTGAGTGTCTTTGTGTTCATTGAGGAGGGAAGATGCCACAAGTTCAATGATATTTTTGGTGTTCTCTCTTCAGAGACAATAGTGAGGCCTGTGAGGGACCTGTCTCAATCAAGCATCTATGACCCATTTGCTGGAATGAAAACCCCAGGTCAACGGCAGCTGATTACTTTACAGGAGCAAGTGAAAATGGGCATACTCACCGTCGATGAAGCTGTACTTCATTTCAAGGAGTGGCAACTGAACCAGAAAAAGAGATCAGAATCATTCCGGTTCCAGCAGGTACAGGCATATTCCACTATTTAAGAAATACAGCTGTCTGTCTAGGTGTGTACCCACGCTGAACAGCTTGGGGTAGATTTGTTTCCTGGTTGGAAACAGTCCCCCAGCTAGCAGAGCTCTCTCCTGGCACGGAGGGGCTGTTCCCATGCAGTAGCAAGCAGGTAGCTGTTTTACAAATCTCTTTGTCTTGCAGTGCTATTCTTAGTTTTTGGTGATCTAGGAACTGGGCCAAATCCATATGGCAAAATTAGCTTTCTAGAGGTCACCTAACACCTACCTGCTGGCAGGAGATTTCTGTGATGCATTTAGCTTCTTACTTCTCATCCATTTCGGATCAGTGAACACTCAGTGTCCTAGATGGTGTACTGGCTTTAAAGTCCTTTCTTGTAGATGGTCAGATCCCTCCCTGGGTGCTTGACTACAGGAGTGACTGTTCTCTGCAGCTAGGCAAGGTCTAGCAACAGGCATTAGCTGACAGTACTGTGTTTAGGTAACTTAGCTGAATGAGGGAGTTATGTTGGCATAGTGATTGGTGTCACTAGCAGGCATAGTTTAAAAATTCCATTCTCAAGTTAAAGTTCCATGCTCTAACAACACTCTGCTTCTTCCAGAGCCTTTTGTTCACAAGTGGCAGTCTGCTTTCATACTTGTGCTGGTCTCCTGTGTGTGATGCTGTTTTGAGAGCTGTCAGAACAAAGCCCAGACTTTTCTCTTCCAGATTCTTAGTTGGAAGGGTCCTCTCTACCCCAAAACAAAGGAATCCCTTCTGTCAATAAAGGACACTGTTGCTTCAGTTGATGTCTGTAGCAGAGATGAAGGGGCATGCTCTGTGCCCCATCCCATGAGCAGCTTTCAATGCCTCTGCTCTAGATCTTGCCTTATGGTACAGCAACTGCTCTGTCTGCTTTTCCACCTATTCAGAGGTTTCCTCCTCTTGCATATGTTGTAGATTTCTCTGCTGAAAAAGTTGTCTTTTTGTTTTCCTCCCCACCTTTCCTTACTGTAGCATGCAGTATGCTGCCACACAGTGGTGAAGAAACTTTGGTCCCAGATAAATTTCCAGGTGTCCCTTCCTGTTTCAGTGGGGACATCCTGAATTCTTTCTGAATTGTCCCACTCACTAGGATGTCTGGCAGCCTCCTTTGGCCCTGAAGTCAGAATTATCTGTTCATTAGTTCAGAAAGGACTCTGCAGTTAATTGATCGTAGGTCTTATTTCTGTGCCAGTGTTGTGGTGGAAAAGGAAAATAGAGGGAGTTTTAAACCAAATGTGCTGCTTATCCATAACTGCCAGTGAGTCTGTGAACTTGACCTTAACATACACAATGAACATCTGAAAAAACTTGGCTTCTGAAAGGCACACATGGGAACTGATTAAAACCTGTTGATGTGGTGTGGACCTCAGCCAGGTCTAGCAGGCTTTGTTACAGCTTGGTTGCAAAGTTACATGAAATGTAATGTTGGTATTGTCAGAAAGCTGCTTATCATCCTTTTGCCTAAGCTCTGAAAAGATGTTTTGTGACATTTCTAGGAAAATCTGAAACGGCTACGAGACAGCATAACCAGGAGACAACTGGAGAGACAAAAAAAAGACAAAAGTGCAGGTAACAGTCTTTGATTCTGACATTCTCTGGTAAGAAGGCAGCTAACAACAGACTCTTCAGGAATAAATGTGTCTGTGTTGCAGTTGTGTGATATTTTAATATTCACATTTATGTGCCTCTTAGCTAAAATATAGGGAAGTTACTTTACTCCTTAGTCTCCCAGACTGAGGAAAGGATGCCAACATCTGTGGAGGGAATCATGATTCCTTCATGTACAGTTATGATTGCCCTCATATGATTGTCTTGAACTTTCTTCTCAGGTGCAAAGTTGTCTTTCAGAGACTATACTTGCAAAGACCCTTCTGACCTATTCATTTTCCCTTCCAGACTTGGAAATTACAGTACCCATTCGACATTCTCATAATACTTTGGGGAAACCAGAATGTGGAATATATGAATATACCCCCAGGAAAAATGTTTTCCCACCAAAAAAGGAGTTAAAGCGAGGAGACTGGAAAACAGAAAGCACATCCAGCACAACAAGTAAGCAAATCCTGAGTGTCATCCTTGGTACAGGAAAGCTGGATGGAAAACACTTACTTGGCTTGATTCTGTGGTCAGTTCTCAGGGGACAGGAATTCTATTCCTGAATCCAAGTACTGCTACAGTCAGCCCAAACCCTGCATACTTTAAGGTGGCTGTTCTCAAAACTGTAAAAGCAACTCCAGGTACATCAAGCCAGTTTGGGCATCTTGTGTCTGCGTAAGGAGGACCTGAAAGCTGAGTGAAAGATTCCCTTGAGCCTTCTCAGGAAGGCATAGCAACTGTAATGGTTTGAAAACAAACCAGCGAGAGACTCCAAGTCAGAAATACAACTTAATAAGAAAAAAAAAAAAAAATAAAAGCAATAATACAAAGGAAAACCACAGACAGAGTCAGAATACAACCTGACACTCTGTAGTTAGGGTGGTGGTAGCAGTCCAGATGAAACAGTGGTCTCGTAGACAAGATCTGGTAGCTCTTGTCCTCTGGAAATCCAGTGGGTAAGGCCCCCTGTGCTGTACTGAACCCCAGTTTATATCCAGGTGGGAGCACTTGGCTCCTCCCCCTGGGTGGAGCATCTCACAATGGGTTGATATCAGTCTGTGAGTCATGCAGTGGGTCCTTGATGGTCCATTAAACAGAAATAGCTCCTGGGAGGAGTTCTGTATGAGTCATGGGGCGAGGCATGGATGGGCCCATGAACAGGGAGGAGGACTCCTGCTGGGTGGGAAGGTGTTAATATCTCCCCTGACCTTGAACTTCTTTCCTTATCTGTTATAGCCTGGGGTGTGAGGTCTGTCCTGGGCAGCTGCTACCCATGATTTTCTTAACAGCCCATGAGCACTGACATAGAGAGTATAGAATACACAGTTTTGGTTCTACCCACATAAGGATAAACTGGTCCCAGCCCCTGTAACCATGACAGCAACTCTCAGAAAAAGGCTGGGAAGGCACTGTCAGAAAAAAGGATGCTCCCTTGCTGTGACTCCTCGCACTCAGCGTGCCCTTCTGGTCTGATGGGCATAGTTTTATTGCAGTCTGGGAACCAGTCTCTACCTGTTGTTTCATCAGTTGTAGATAAAGGACAGCAGTTTTCATTGGTAACTGTGGGACCTCTTGAGTAACTTGGACAGGTTGCACATTATTATCTTGGGTTGTATTAGGTTTAATTTCTGCAAGTTAAATCCCTGCATTCTCGCTGCTACGGCGGACTGAGCAGTTCTTGCAGAAAGCATTAAGATCAGAAACTTGATCTGGTCCTTAGAAAGGAAAACTCAGTCCCAGTGAGGTTACTGCCTTTGTGGCTCTTCACAAGATGTGTCTGGCACACATCTAGAGTGGGTGCCAGAGGCAGCTGACTTAGTAACTTGCATATAAAGAGTTGTGAGAAATGTCCATGAGCCTGCGGAGTTCACCTGTGCAGCCTGAGTCTCTCCCATGGCATGATGGTGAGAACAGACCCTAACACGTGATTTAGCACTCTTAAGTGCTCCTCTTTGTACCCACAGATAATGAGAGTTATCTCACCAAGGCTAGGGAAGGACTTCATCTTCTGAGAAAACCTCTGTTAGCCTCCATTTAAACATAGATAGTTCTGAATGTTAGTGTCCCAGTATTTCACAACCGTGTAGAACGTAATGTATGTAAGACTGAAAGCAGCCATAGCAGTGTAGGGTATGTTTATGAGTTGTGGTTACCTTCAGAGGTGGCATGACTGATGGCAAAAATGTTCTCTACTCTGAGTCCATGAAAGTTAAATGGGTTTGCATAAATAGTTGCTGGAAGTTGTTGGAACAAACTTCTCATTTTTAGCTCTCAAATAGACTAGGAAGCTTTCCTGTGATGAGTAAGGATTGTTCTGAGAGGAGGAGGAGGAGGACAGCTATTTGGAAAAATAACCTCTCAAGCAGTCACTCCAGGAATGAATATGGGACAGTGCTCAGAGCTGCCTTCCTTATGTAGTTAAGGACATGGGGACTGATAATGTAAATATATCTAAATATTGACTGTGTAACACTTCTGAAGATATTCATATGACTTGTCAGCTCCTATTAGTACTGGATCCTTTCAGTTAGATTATGGTTGGGAGTATTTAACCAGAAGCCTGGACCTAAATAGGGCAGAAAACTGCTAGAAAGAAAGGCAAACTGAATGGCTTAGACTTGTGCTCTGTGTTGTGTGAAATGCCACTGTTTGGATCCTGAACATGTGAAAAATAACACTGGAAATAAATTAATCTAAACACAAATGAAATGATACATGTAAGAGGCAATCATGAGGAGTTCTTAGTGATTTGTGGTTAAAGCACCAGGATTTAATAATCAGTTTTTCTTTTGCTTACTCACTGCAGGTAGCACAAGTAACCGTTCCAGCACTCGGAGCATACTGAGTGTTAGCAGTGGGATGGAAGGGGACAGTGAGGTAAGTTCTCACCTCTGCTATATATTGGTCCACTCTTCTTAAGTACATGGTTTTGTTTTCAAAGGAAAGGGAGCTCAGGGTGGCACTGCATTTGCAGAAATAGAAAAAATGTGGCCACTTCTTGTTGTGAAGTGAACAAAAACCAGGCTCTGCTGGTCTGTAACTTCTTTTCTTCCTTTTGTAGGACAATGAAGTCCCAGAAACAACTAGAAGCCGCAGCCCAGTAGCTCACCAAGCAGAGAGGCTGCCTTTCCCAGAAAGGCCTCCCAGAGTACCCCCTCGAGGGGCAAGCAGGTAAAGCTAAAATGCAGCTTAAAGATGAGCTCTCAGTAAGTCAATACAGAAGCCTTGGGCAGGAAGCAAATGTCTTTTCAACAAAATCTACCAGGCGTTTAAAATATAAACACGTATTGTTAGGAATTGTGAGATCCTTGTTTCTCCTCTGTAATACTTGGTGGAATTGGTTTCCTAGTTGGTAACATGCCTGTTGCAGTGCTGTTACTGTGGTTCACACACTGCAAGGGGCAGCACTATTGAAGCACACAAAGCTTCCCATGTTAAGACTATCCCAGGTGGAGTAGCATCCTGCCCCTGACAGATTTAGTACCTGATCCTCCTAAGAAGATCTTCTTGGGACATCTGAAGGCCTTGGCAGAGGGAATTCCCTTTTGGTGTTCCCTTTGTCTTTTTTTTTGTTTGTTTGTTTTACAAATTTCTGGTCTCTCCAAAGCACACTTGTTTACATGTGTGATTGGCCTCAAAGTAAGAACTGCACTGTTTTTCTAAAAGGTATTGAGGAGATTTGCCTTGATTTGATCAGACTACATAAGCAATTTGTAAACATTCCTTTAGTCCAAACCTTTAGTGCAAGTCTATGAAGCCCAGGCCCCCAAGGCTTATGTAGGTACAGATACTAATAAAATTAGCCAACTGTTGAAACAGTAATTACAGAACTTACTGCACCCACACATTAGTATGTTCCTTGGCTCTGGCAAGAATATAGCTGGAATTTATCTGTAGGTAGTTTTTTAAAAAAAAAAAGTTGAACCTTTTGGATCTCTTCTTATTGCTCTTCATCTAATTTTCAGCAGAAGGCTACTATACTATTAAAAGTCTTAGTTCAATCAAGTATTGTAGGATTTCTTTACAGTAATAGTAGAATTACTGCAGCTGAAATATAGCTGGAATTTATCTGTAGGTAGTTTTTGAAAAAAAAAGAGTTGAACCTTTTGGATCTCTTCTTATTGCTCTTCATCTAATTTTCAGCAGAAGGCTACTATACTATTAAAAGTCTTAGTTCAATCAAGTATTGTAGGATTTCTTTAGTAATAAGTAAGAGTAATAGTAGAATTATTGCAGCTGAAGAGCAGAAGAAATAACTTGGACAGCAACAGGGTGCTGGTGTCTAGGCATCTGTTCTGTTCCTGAATCACTGTTCTTCCTATGACTACTGTTTGTACAGTATTTTTTACATATGATGTTACTACATGCGATGTGTAGTTCCAGAACCCTATTCCCTAGTATTTTTGTAATGTGTTTGTATTCTGTCTTTTTACAGGCCTGTAAGCTGTGAAAGCTTTTATCCGCCACCTGTGCCCCCAAGAGGTCGCTGAATCTCTCAACATCTGTGGAATATGAGATTTTTTTCTGTTTTGTATGTGTGTTTGTACAGATATTTTTTGGTTGTCTTAAGTTATTTATAAGTGGAGCCAAATGTTTTCATCCCTTTCCTCCTCCCTAAAGCTCTGGTGACTTTTTTCACCATGATTTTCACTGAGACTTCTTGGCTTTTTATAACTCTTTTGCTTGGAAGAATTTTGGTGCTTTGGGACTTAAAGTATTGTGGTGGGGAAGCAGACTGCTGATGTGTCTACAGCCCCGCACCAGCATGAAGATTCCCTTTGACTGAGAAAGAACGTGTCCGTTTAGAAACTAAATCCTAATAAGCATTGTTACAAAAATCCTTGATACATTGTACAAGGGCTTAGCTGGAAAACATGCTTGAAAAAGTAAAGAAAAGTTGTTTGAAGACTTTGTTTGAAGAATGTCCATTAGAGCAGGGGCAGGTGAATGTACTGCTGTTTGGTATAAAAGACATACTGACCTTTCAGGTGGTGTAGAATATCCCTCCAGCCATCATTAAACCATGGCAGGAAGAGAAGTTGTCTTTATTTAAGAATGTATTTTGCATGCAGTATGGAGAACAACTTCCCCTTTTCCCTTACCTCCCTGAAGAGGAGAGAGACATTAACAAGATGTTATATGTGCTGCACTTACTGTGAAAATCCCCAAGGCAGCTGGTAAGGGACCTGCTGTATCAATGGTGTGCCATCTCCCCCTGTGCCCATAACC